TTCAATAAAATTGCCATTGGCTTCAACCACAGCGTCCAAATGACTTCAGAATCTCCTGCAACGTTTCTGGATAGTCTCCTTGTTTAAGTTGGTGAATGTTGCCATAATCCTTGCCTTCAGTTCATCTTTGGTATTACAAGGAGTTTTGTTGATCTCCTGCTCAACTGTGCCCCACACATAATAATCAATGGGGTTGCAGTCTGGGGAGTTAGGTGCCAAATGTAAGGGGTGATGTGGTCACAAAAAATTGTCTGACAGCTATGACTGGGTTCTTCTGTTGGCCTGGCATGATGCAGAGTTCTATTACCAGATATAGAGTCCTCCAGTAGCCACCCTCTTGACCCAGGGCAGCATTACCTCCTCAAAGCACTTGATGAAGGCCTCTGTGTTGAATCTATGGCCCTCACCAACAAATTCGGGAGGTCTTTTCTTATCAGAAAAGATCAGATTGAGTTTTCCTTTGTAATCAGCATTAGACTCCTTCAACTCTTTCCAAATCATCTGCACTGTCCTCAGATTGACACCCAAACACTCAGAAATGTTTATATTGAAGATTTTGGTGAAAATGTCAATCAGTACAGTATGCTATTTCCAAATTTCTGGTGGAGTGAATTATGTCATGGTGCTCTTTTACTCACAGACAGTGCCCAACTGACCATACAGTGCAGTTGACAAAATCAAAAACAATGTGCATGCACAAAATTAAAAATATTAAATGGCAACATTTTACTGATCGCATCCTGTACGTATGAGAAATGTTTTCAGTAGATACATCTATGATAAATTATAAAACATATATTTAAAAATATATATCTTATAATTTATCTAGTGTATTGGGACATTATTCAAACATATATTGTTAAATATAACAGACAACAAATGTCTATTATGTTTGGGCATGAGCCATTCTAAGCTTCGTATAGTGGCTTTAGTTTCTGGAAAAAATAAAGACAAAAACTATCCAACATTTAGATATTATAATGCATTTAAACTCATGGTTCTGTTAATTACATTTCTTTCTTTTACATGGTCATGAACAATGTCATAGAATCGCATTATGAATTTACAACCTGTATTTGCTATTTCGCAACTTTTATTGTCACATAGCAAACCTCTATATAAACATAACAGGATTTCATCTTTGAAGGTGAACATCTCTGTTGTAATGTCCATATAACCACTCTGATGATGGCTCATGTGAGCCGAAAGCTTAGATCGAGGAACAGCATAATAAAAAAATATCCAAATGTTGGGCAGTTTTTGTCGTTATTTTCTCCAGAAACTAAAGCCACTATACGAAGCTTAGAACGGCTTATGATCAAACATAATAGACATTTGTTGTCTGTTATATTTAACAATATATGTTTGAATAATGTCCCAATACACTAGATAAATTATAAAATATATATTTTTAAAAATGAAGCCAAACACATTTAATATTGTACACAAAATAGAATCAAATTGTTGAATAGCTCCCAGTCAGTTCCTAAGTAGCCATTTATTTTAAACACAATTCTAATACTATTTTAGGTAATTCTTTCATAACAGATCCTTAGTTCATTCAATCTTGAACCTTCAATTGCTGCCACAAATTTTTAACCTTTAGCACACTACATTATTAATATTACTTCCCTTTCCACTGCATTCTTTTTCAAGGTTTCTCAATTGCAGTATCCATATTGTTAATTTTGCTCAAAGTTGTTTTCAGTTGCCATAGCAGGATATGACTACACAACTATAAAATTCAAACACAGTTGCAGGATAAACATTTTGTACAGCAAATGAAATCACAGAGTGATAAAGGTTAATTGGGTTTTGGTCAAGGAACTGTTTGGTCCACTTTAACAGGTTAATCCTTTCATTTGCAAGCCAATGTTTAGTTGTGTTGACAGTGTATTCAAGATCATTTCCTGCTGAAACACTTAATTGTACATTATCTTTAAATTTTTGACTGATGTAAGGAGGTTCTTTTTCCATATATCTCAGTATATGGCTCCGTTTACTTTCCCTTTGATTAGATGAAGTTCTGTATAATGAGATAGAAAACAGTCTATACATTGCCACCCCCAAGCATCACATTTGGGAGAGTATTCTCTCTGGCTTGAATTCTTTATTTTTATTCCTCCAAACTTGATGATATAAACTAAGGTATATTTTTCATCTTATCACACCAAAGAATATTATTCCAGTAAGTATCTGGCTAATATAAGTTCTCTTTGGCAAAACTTTATATGCACTTCTATATATAATTTCTTCAGAAATGGTACTTTTCATGCTTTACAAAATTGATAATGGAGTATGTTGCTCGCATCTTGAGATGTAACTGTTCTTGCTGATACTCAGAGATTTTCTACTACCGCTTTTCAATTAATCCTTGGTTGTTTCTTTACTATGCTTCCAGCATAGCTGGACATCTTTTGCAATCTCCTGTGTTGTATGACTTGTATTATTTTTTATCCGCATTTTGATTTGGTCATCAACAACTACTGGCCTGTTCAAACATTCTTAGCCTTCCAGATAAAAATTTTCACTTTTGAATCTAGCGAATCACTTATAAACAGTATTCTGCTATGGCACCATCTCTATAAATGGTACATGCCTTTTTTGCTGTTTTCCAGAAATAAAAGCATCAGATGATGAAAATATATCTCATTTTCATCCATTTTCACTTTTAATGTAAAACATTTAAAATTCACAATCCACACACAAATCATAAAAAGATGTTTTGAAATGTCACCTTTTAGAATATGTATGTATGCCATAAATTTCAGTCACATATGAAACAAAATCACATGTCCAAATCCCACAAATTTTTATTCCAACTTAATGTGTGCATGTATTTATTTAAGGTTAAAGATAATTTTTATAACATTTCTCAGTTATATAGCAGTCAAAATTTGTTAGTCAACTGTTGTTGACACTTCATTTAACCATTATCAAGATCGAAGACCTTAATAGCAAAAATTGGGATTATACATGTTAACCGTTGTTTAAATTTCAATTTTCTAATGTTGGCATCATGGCATTGGAAAATTATACCATTATACCAACATTGCACACAAGATAACATTCAAGTGAGATTCATTTTTAGATAGAATGTATCATTCAATTGTTAAATACATTAAAATCTCAATGCCTTGGCTGAAGATCTTGTTTAGCTTTGGCTTTATTTTAAATATAAAGGTTTCAAAAATATGAAACCATATTTTTTTTTTCAATTAACTAAGTGTAGTATATGCATATTCTCAACAAATATTTAAGCATATACCACTGAGAGAAATGCCAGCACCTAGCAGTCTATGCATGTCAATATTGATACAGATACCACTTTAGTTGGAAAGGTAGGAGGTTAGTCAACAAGATAATGTGTTTGTTGTATGGTCAACATAGGAATTAGATATTTTTAAAGCATTAGGAATATAATCTTCTACGAGAAATATTTACAACATTTTTCTTTAATACTATGTCCTTTCCGAATATGACTCTTCAGTTTCCTTTTTTTTTTATTATATATGAATTACCATACATTCTTCTCCACAGTTTAGAATTCAGAATTTTCCTTCTTTTAGATTGGTTGCCATCCAAGGTTAAAGAGTCCAATCTATCCTAATATTTAAACCATAGCCAAAGGAAGAAAAGATATATTTGTGCATTTGCCAAAGACATTAATGTGAAAGTGAACAGAACAAACTAGCCCAGAATTTGAACTCAAATCACCAATTCCTCTTTCTGCACCAATATCCATTACACTACCTACACATTGATGACATAATATCAATTTTTGATTATGAGAAATTATGAGAAATTCTCTGAGAAAAGTCAAAATTATAATATATTTAATTATGATTGCCAGTAGATTAACAAAATTATTCCTATGTATACAATATATTCTTTATGTGGTATTATGCTAGAATAGACATGGCACTCAAATTTCACACCAGACCATCACAGAGGTTACTCTTGGCCATCAAATTCAGAAGTACATCACCTCACACTTGCATCTGGTATTTCAAGTGTAGGAACAAGCATATTGAATAAATGGATATATAAACAATCACCCCAAAGATGTTTTGATCAGTCTCTCACATATTGCAGACAGAATATAAGATTTTACATATTGAACCTGAGGCTCACATACCACAGACCAGCTGAGAATAACTGATGAAATAGTGAAGTGAATGAAATGTTAAATAATGAATATTCAAGTCTCATGTTATCATTCAATTGGCACACACACGTCATTACAATACATCAACAGAGCATTAAGACCATTTGAGAAGCCAGTTTAAACTCCAGATTTGAATATCAGTCAATATAAAGGAGAGGCAAAGAGAGGCATCCAAAGTCACTGGCATGTCACAGACTGGCTGAGAGTAACTGGTGAAATATTGGAGTGAATAAATTGTTAAGTAATGAAGATTCAAGTCTTGTGTTATTTAATGTAATGGCACAGTTTTTTATATATAGAGATTTATAATAATTTAAACATGTACATTCTAAAGTTGAATTCATCTTCCTGTTTACACATTTTTGAAGGTCTTACTTAGAAATTTCATAATTCAAAATCGATCATATTTTCAAATATTGCAAAATTCTACATCTACTTCTACTGAAAGAGGCTATACTGCAGGAATGACTACATACTGATAAAACCAACCAAATTGCAGTGCATCAGCAAATGCAGGCACCAACAAATGGCCAGCAGCAATAAGGGTGTGAAAGTGTGGACGGAGGTGCAGACAGTGGAAGTATGTAAAAGATCTCAAAAGAGGCAGCCATACCGCACACATGATAAATATCCTTCTAGTTGCTAACCAGCCGACAACACCATCGAGCAGGTTACTGGAAAAATAAAGGAGTACACAACAGAAATAAACAGGCAGAAAATATAAAGAACATGAAAAGACGTTTCAGCGGTTATGGATAAAATGAAAAAAAAATCATTAAAATTACTAGAAACTTAACTGTATAGCTAAAATAGTAAGACTAATGGTCTCACATTGAGACATCCGTTCTCATATGATCACTGAAGTTAAGCAACATTGAGTCTAGTCAGTATCTAGATAGGTGACCACTTGGGAATACCAAGTGCTGTAAGCTGGGGTGTAATAATGGCTCAGAATTGGAAATTGGAGAGCTGAGTTCCAATTCCAATTGGGTTTGTTATATTCACTACAAAGAAATCTGAAATTTGTACTAATTTGTTAAGAATGTGACAAAATTTAAATATTCAGAGATTATCGTTTATTATATAGAGTCAATTAATTTTATTAACTTATTGTCTATATCCATATATATTATTAGGAAAATTAATGACAAAGTGGAAACATTTTTTTGTGTGGCACATTTTGTATTTTAGGATTTCATTGAACTAAAGTCAATGTCAATGCACAAGGGAGAAGGGGACAGTGAAATTTTAAACTTTTAAATTTAATTTTTTTTTATATGTGTATAGGGTTTTTTTTTTCCACAAATTGCGCCCTATATCTAATCATTTTTGTACTGCTCCAGGTCACTAAGAGTTACCCTTCTAGGCTAGTTGACAATCATCATAGCTAGAGAGCCCAGTCTGTCCTGCTATTAACCCCTAACTGGGAGAGAAGAGATGAATTCATACCTTTCCAAGAGTATTTGTGCAAAAGTAAATGCAATGGTCTTTGGCTAGAACTTGAACTCAGTATGTCGATCTTACTTTCTGTGCCAACAACCACTACACTATACACACATCTATTCATTCAGTATGGTGTGCTTTCACTGCTCAACTCTGGAGAGCTTCACAATCAATCAAGGTTCTATTTGCCTTAAAGCACATTCACTCATTCAGATTTTCTCAAAAGCAATATCTGCTCAGTTTCATATCCAAAATGTAAACAAACCAATTTCTAAAGAATTAATAGATTTTATTTCTTAATCCAACTTATTTTTATTACTTCAAATGTTATTTTTAGTGGCTATCTGCATTTGGCTTTACCACACAATGCTACTCAAAATTTCATGCTTTTTTTTTTTCTGGAAGGGTTTGCTCATCAGGCATATAGATATATATAAATATATAGCATCTGATAAGTGAGAGGTGAAGCAACTCTAAGCAGAGTGACAAATCAATAGGACCTTACAATAATATATTTATTACTTCAAATGCTATTTTTTTATAGATATCTGTATTTGAATAGAAAGGGAATATAACAAACTCAGTTGGATTTTGAATTCAGCTTGCCAATTTCTCATTCTGACCTGTTAACCATTACAATACAAGAACACAAAAATTGCACAAGCAAAAATCATGTTACAATTGTACGCACTCCATTACAAAAACATAACATTTGAATGAGTGTACAGTTAATCTGAATGAAATTCTCTTTACCTATTTAGCCTATAAAGATTTCTCAGAAATTGAAATAGCATTCATGATTTGCACCCTCAGATACAAATATGTATGATTCATAATATTTTAGAGGTGAATGAGAAGGCTTTCAATTGAATTGTTTGAATAAAAATTGAACTTGCTAAGCAAACAAAGTTCAAGAATTTCAATTTGTAACACAAGAAAACAAGTTTTCTTTTTTCCCTTTCATAACACTTCTATCCTTTGTACATTGAAAAACGAATTTATGCTGAAAATCTGAAATGAAAAGAATCTTAGTAACATACAGGACAGCTTTCAATAAATCAACCTAAATACCATCCTGGGTATGACGATAAACTACATCCAGCAGCAAAGCCTCTGATCAGAATGGAGTATGAAACTGCCTCTTAATTGTTGTTCCCAGGTCCACCCTGACCTGGGCTGGTAGCACCTGTTAAGGTCCCAGCTATGGGCAAATAGTTAACTCCCAAACTGATCAAGTTCTCTTGATATTTGACTTTAAAAAAAAAAAAAAACTTAATGACTAATTTTATAGATGTAAAATAACTGTTTACTAATAATTGTTTATTGTCTCATTTGCAACATGAGAGCAGGTATTGTCATGCAGCAAAACACTCAACTTGATTTACTTGCTTAGAAAAATATCATTAGGTAATGATTTAGTCATATTAAAATGAATATTTTTTTTCTACAAAAATGTTTATAATCTTCCTCAACAAACTGTTACATTCACCCATCTTCCTCACCAAACTATATGACATTTACACTCTTCCTCACCAAGCTACATGACATTTACACTTCCCTCTTTACTTTCTTCTTTGTCTCTTTTGTATCACACATACACACAAAGAAATCATATTTCTTTTCATCTTAAAAAGAAGGAACTTTAACACTCATACATGTTGAGAAAAATTTAGTTGTAAAAACATGAAAATAAAAATATTTTATATTTACAAAACCTACTTGGCTTTTTCTTTGTTGTGGGTTGATTCAAATTTAAACAGACCTTTATTTCGTAGGAGCCATTTTAATTTTTTAAGGAAATTTAAGTTTTAAAATGGAAGCAAGCAAAGTGACTGAAATATAGGGATTCAATTTACAATGGATGTATAACATCAAAATGTACTCTTACTTTGCATTCAAGTTTTCAATTTACAATGTAAACATACTGATAAAGTGAAATTTGATTTTGTGCCTGTATTTATAATAATACATGTGTAATTTTAAAGTACAGAAGCCTGAAAAGAAAAAGTTTAGTTTTTTGAGTTTTAGCCAAGAGTTAGAATTTTCATAACATCACAAATTGAGCTCTTTATTATGGAGAAAAACTTCAACTTATCTCTTGATATTTTTAGGCTTATTTACTTTAAAATTACAGACCTTGTAGACTAACAAAAAGACCCACTATTTGCATCAAAACAAACACTAAGTAAGGATTTAGTATAATGCTAAACTGAACCCTTACTTAGTATCCATTTTGATGTAAATAGTGATGATTTGTTAATCTATAAAGTCCATAATACACATTTTACTTTAACCATATCTTTACCATTCTTTATTGCTGCTATTGGACACATTAATACAATGTCAATTTAACTTGGACACTTTGACAGATTGTGACTGTTCTATGTTAAAGAGGAAATGGCTTATTTGAATGTCACAATGGAGGATCAAAGATACTTTTTAAACAAGGAAATCAAGTTGTGGTTTACTGCATGACAATACCTGCACTCATGTTGTAAATGTGATGCAGTAAACAATTATTTTACATCAAGAAAATTAGTCATTAGTTCATTATTTTTTTAAACAATTCATAACATAAATAACAGTATTAGATTTATGAAAAGATTTCCAATGCCATTTTTTACACAGTATTTAAGAAATCCTAGAAGTATCTTTGAACTTTACTCAGCTCTTTTATTATTTGTGCAATCAATTGATTGTAGTACATCATACATTGGGGAAATTCATAAGCTAGTAAAATGGGTTCAATATGAACTACAAAGAAGAAATTTCAGTCAGCATTTAAAAACTTGTCTTTTCTATTGCTCAACATAGAAAAATTCATTTTTAAACAAGATAGTTCTGCCAATAAAAAATGTATTTATTATAAGAATTCAAAATGGAGAAAAATCATGGCTCAATGACTGCAGCCATGTCTTCAGGTCCAACATAGGACTCATTTCACCGAAATGTCGATGAGCCCGCCCCCATACTCAGCAACAAGTTCCACCACCAACAACAAATAATTCTATTAATTTATATAAATAAAAGATTTTTATCAAAGGCTTTTGCATCAACCTAGTACTATTTTGATGTGCAAACCATGAGTCTTATAACTGAATTAATTATCCAGCACAAATTGATGATAGATTTTTAGTGCCAATGTTAGATTTTAAACTGGTCTTTTATTTTCCTTTCTTGGACCTAAACATTAAATAACACAACTAAGAATCTATATTACCTTTTTATTGTTTCATTATTTTGGGGATATAAATATTCCAATAATAACAAAAAAGGTTTAAAAAATAATCAAAATAGTGATACATTTTAAAACAATGACGTAATAAAATGTCAAAATATTAAATTTATTTTTTGTTCTTGTATAAATATTTATGAGACATTTTTAATTACCTCCAAAATGTTTATATAATATGACATATATTTCAGTTTTAAAATATGTTGTAAACATTTTCAAAGAAATAAAAAAGGAAAGGAATAGATGATGAAAACAAAGCGTAACTATAGAGACCATGTTCTAGCACCTCTGATATAAAAAATGCTTGTGTGTGTGAGACAAAAGTAGGAATAGAGCAGATCACCCAACTTAAGTCTTACCTTAATGCTTAATCACATCATTTTCTTCTGTGTAGGTTCAAAAAAAGAAGAAGGTAAAGAGTGTTTTTGAATTCAGTGCTGCTTATATTCTATTATGTCACATGACTTCTGTGAAGTGTCACATGACTACATAACTAACAGGAAATAATACCCCACCTTTGGCACTCTTATTTTTATTTATTTTATCCATTTGAATACATGAATATGTATTTATCTTATTTATCTACATGTGAATGTTAATATTACATTCTAAATTTGTTAAATGCCTCAATATAATATGAAAAAAATATAAGTGATATGTTAATTACATAACATCTCCTTCTTGAAATTCACACCTTGTCTTCATTTAAATAATTACAAGCATAATAAATAAACTTTTCAAATCAATTTCAGCATATATTTAAGTTGTATGATTTTAAATCATTTGCCTATCTCCATATTGGAAATTCAAATACTGTAGAATTTTCACTGGTCTAACTAGTTCATAACAGATTACCTGCTGTATGAAGTCAGAAAATATGGAAAGTACTTAGGCCCTTATTGTATTATGAGGAAGTTCAACGCAATTACAAATTTATAACCTAATAACCAAACCTCAGATTTTTTTTTGTTTTAAGGGAATGGCTTTTTGGCCCAAAACCTTTTCAGGTTTCCTCCTCATATATTTAGTATTTACTGATTAAAATATGTTTTGGTTGGATTATTGTTATTATATTACACTGGCTTAAGGGGATGATACCTCAATCACATTCTTAACAACATCTGATATGAAAATGACAGTGCTGATAGCAGATACAGAAAAAAACTACTAAAGTTCCTGTTGTAACTAGTGAAGAAAAGCAAGGAGAAAGGACTAAATATAAACTGCAAGAAGACAGAATGCATGGTTATTG